TGTTGGGCCGAGTGCCGCAGGCTCCAGCGCGGCCTTCCCGCCAGCCTGCTCCAGAGGGAGCCTGGTTCTCCTTCCTGCATCACCCCTTTCTCCGAGGGCCTTCTTTCCCCCTCATGGCCCCGGGAAGACCTAGACTTAGTTACAGTGTCTGGAAGGGCTGTGCCTGGCGCGGGTAGGAAGTTAGTCTTCTCTGAATGCTGGCTGCCTCTCGGCTGCCCTTCTCGACTGGGGATGAGGATCCAGCGCTGCCCGACAGCGGTCACTTCTGCCCAGTCAGTCCTGCGTGCACTCGGCCTGGGGAATTCACCCACAAGCCGCTTCTGACCCAAAGCTCCACTAGGAAACCCCCTCCTCATTGTGACCTGCCAGGGGCCATGGGGAGAGGCCGAGATTACATGGCGGGGGGGGTTCTGTATTCAATCCTCTTTGCCCCGCGATTCATTGTCAGGCTCCCGCTGCTCTGATGTCCAGTCACAACTACCTCCCTGTGATCCGGCCCACTGGCTCCTTCAGCCCATCCTTCCTGCCCGGGGCCCTTTGCAAATGCTGGGCCTGTTGCCTGGAGCGCCTTCCCTACCTTCACCTCCTTGGCCTAGTTAACTCCGCCAGGAAGTGACCCATCAGACTAATTTTATTTTTTTAAATCCTCATCCGAGGATATTTTCCCATTGATTTTTAGAGAGAGTGACAGACACATCGATTAGTTGCCTCCTGCATGAGCCCTGACCAGGGTCTGGGCTGGGGAGGAGCCTGCAACCAAGGTACATGTCCTTGACATGAATCAGAATCGAACCCAGGACCCGTAGGTCCCTAGGCCAACGCTCTGTCCACTGAGCCAAATCGGCTAGGGCAGGATATCCTACTTTAAATGCTTTCGTAGTTCCATGTATGTTGGTGCCATCACAGTTCTAATTTTCATTTATTTGGGCGGTTACTTAATTTTTCTCTCTACTAGACTGTGCTTCGTGAAAGCAAAGCCCTTGTGCATTGCTCACTGCTGCACCCCATTGCCTGGTTGAGCACCTGACGCAAGTGGCAACCACCCCTTAAGTGATTCACAACCACCACACGCTCTGAAAGATGAACGAAGCCTCGGGGGACATATGCTCCAGTACTGTGGCTGCCTTGGTTTCCCCCTGTGTCCCAGCCAGAGAAAATCTGGAAGTGGAGGTAAAGGATCAGAGAACACTGCCCCCTGGGTTACCCTGGACATCAGGGGTTGGGGGGCCTCCAGCATCCTGACCTCTGACCTTTTCACAACTGTCAGCAGGTCTCTCGGCCAGGACACATGGATACTCATCCACCAAGCCTCATGGTAGGAGTCTGACTGCCTCCATTCCCTCACTCTTCTTGTGAGGGTTCTGCCACCTCCTCTGGGTACCCACCCTGCCCATTGTGCCTGGGCCTAGACTCTGCTTCAGCCTCTCGCTGTGGCCCTTGCCAGACTCTGGCATGCCCATCCCCAAGGTAGTGAGCACACCCCTGCCAGGACTCGGGCCTGCCTGAGGCTCTCGAGTGGAGGGTTGTAGGTCCATGGTCTGGGTCCCTTCTCTCCTCCATACTGCCCCTACCCTTGATTGTAGAGCCAAAGGCTCCTGGTGACTGTCTCACCCAGCCCTGTGGTCCACATTTCTGAGACACAATGAGGTGGCCCCAGAATGGGGCTGGCACCCAGCGGTCCCTGGGGTGCTGGTATGTGTCCTTTCAGGAGGCTGTGACATTTGGTGATGTGGCTGTGCACTTCTCACGGGAGGAGTGGATGTGTCTGGACCCTGGCCAGAGGGCCCTCTACAAGGAGGTGATGCTGGAGAACCACAGCAGTGTGGCTGGACTAGGTGAGGCTGTACCTTGGGACCCCTCCCCCTGCATCATAGATCAGCACCTGCCTGGCCAGGCCTCTCAGAGCTGGGGATATGGAGGCCATGTGGTCAGCTCCTGACGCTAGGATGGGTCATGGTGAGCCAGGCAGGCTCCTAGATTTGCTCACGTCACAGGGTTTAATCCTCACAGGGTATGTGGACTTCTGGGAGGTAATACAACCTCTTTCTTGTCTGGGCTAAGAGGTTAGCTTTAAAGAAATAGAATTCAAACTAAAATAGCTTTTTTGCTATCTTTTTTAACTTCTGGAGGAATTTATATCGATGGAGTTAGTTGAACCTGTCAAGTTTTTGGTAGAAGTCCCTGTAAAACACCTGGGCCCTGGGGAAGCTCCTCCTTCTTTCATGCTTGATGGTCCAACAAGCTTGTGAATTTCTCCTTTTGTCACCTTTGTCATTTCTAGTTTTTGTACAAATTTACCTATTCATTTGTATTTTCCGTTTTCAGCATGTATTTATTCATAATGCTTTCCATCTTTATTTTTAAGCTCTGTTATGTTTGCAGCTGTCCCCTTATGTAAGTTTTGGGCAGTGTCTTGATTGGTTTTGCCCCAGGACTGTTTATTCATATTTTCAAAGAGCCAGGTTTTGGTTTTGCTCAATTTTTGGGGAGTGGTGTGTGGGGGTCCTTGTTCTCTATTTCACTGAATTCTGCCCGGTTTTTATTATTTTTTTCTTTTGTGTTTGTGTTTGCTGTGTTGTTTCCAATTTCTTGAATTTACTGTTTACCTCATTTGTGTTCTACTGTCCTTATTTCTAGTAAATATGTTTAAAAATGTAAATTTTTGTCTTTATATGCTACTTCAGCTGCATCCTACACATTGTGCCAGTTAGTAAATCGTTACTGAATCTCCAAGTGGCTGATAGTTTTGAGCTGTGTGTTGTGGTTACTTTCATGTTCCGTTGCATTTTGGTTGTTCTGTGTTCTGGGGGTCCTGAGCACTGCACCATGACCCCTTCAAGGCTGGCCCAAGCATGTTCCTCTGACTGCTCCATGTGTGCTTGGAGAGAACACGTGTTTCCTGTTCATGTGGGGTCCTGCCTGCACTTGAGGCCTTCAACCTGGGATCTCTCTGCCTGCCGTTCTCCGCCCTCATGGTTGGAAACCTGAAGGAAGCTCCAACCACAGGGATGGGATGGGAGCTCACCACACTGATGCCCCGCAGCATGGGGCTGATGGCCCTGGAAGGAGGGTGTCAGATGGGTGCCCACAGGTCTTCACCACTTCCCAGGCTGCCTAGCTCCCTTGCTTTGTGCAAGGATGCAAGACGGGGGGTATCTGGGTGAGGACTGGACCTCATTGCCTTCTGGTTTAAAGTGTGCTTCATTCAGTGCTTTATTTTTGTTGTTCTTTTGTTTTCATTCTTTTTCCTTTTTAAAAATTTTTATTTATTGATTGATTTTTAGAAAGAGGAAAGGAAAGAGAGAGAGAAAACACTGATTTGATGTTCTACATATTTATGCATTCATTGATTGATTCTTGTATGTACTGGAGATCAAACCTGCATCCTTGGCCTATCAGGACCACACTAAGCAATTGAACTACTCAGCCAGGGCGGGTTTTTTTGTTCGTTTGTTTTTTTAATAAGAGTTTCTTTGACCCAAACTGATGACCTATGCTGAGAAGCAAGATCTCAAATGCTCCTGTCTTGTTCCTTAATTACCCCTACCTCTTGGAGCACACACCTGCCCTCTGAACTGAGGGGCTTGCTGGTAGTGCCTAGCTTTTCTCTTCTTGAAGTACAGTGGCCTCTTCTTGGCAAACTCTTGGGTGACAGGGTCTGCTGGGATCTTGGCCTTGAAGCAAAGGGAATGGGCTGGGAGTCCAGGCATCCCTTGCCGTCTAGCCTCAGGAGCTGGGCTGAACCAGACAGAGAGGGCCCCTGTGCCTGGATCCTAACCCTGTGATGCTCCCTCAGAGACTCTGCCTGTAGCCCAGCAGCCTCCCACCCCTTTACTTTTGGAAACCAGGGGGCACTGAGCCCTGCGCTGCATTCCCAGCAGCACCAATGTGGTTTCCTTTGTCACCTTGACAGCAGGATTTCTGCTCTTCAAGCCTGAACTGATCTCCCGGCTGGAGCAAGGGCAGGAGCCATGGGTCCTTGACCTGCAGGGAACAGAGGCGAGAGAGGCACGAAGGACCCTCCAGACAGGTGAGGCTCGGTTTTGTGCCCGGGAAGGCGGACCCTAGGATCACCATGCGAGTTTGTTTTTATTAAGTCTCTCATCTTACCAATACTCTTATTGAGATACAAGCATGGATGCAAGAGAAGGAGTAATCTTGGTTCTGAGCAGCTTCTCGGGTGAACATCATGTCACTGGTACTGTTGTGCTCCCTCCAGAACTTCTGGGGATCCCAGATGACCCTAGCCTCTCAGGTGAGGCTCCGGGCTGCCATAACAAACCACCAGAGACTGGAGGCTTGAACTGATAAAGATTCATATCTCACAGTCTTGGGGCCAGAGGTCCAAAATCAAGGCATTGGTGGGGTTGTGACCCCTCTGAAGTCTGTAGGGGAGGATCCTTCCAGCTTCTGGTGGCCCCAGGTGTTCCTCTGCTTGTGGCTGCGTCACCCAGTCCTCCACGTCACAGCGCATTCTTCCTGTGTCTGTCTTTCCAAGGATATCAGTCATATTAGATTAGGGCCTCCATACTTCAGTGTGATCTCATCTTAACTAACTCCAGCTCTAGGGTCCTGTTTGTAAATAAGTTTGTATTCTGAGGTTCTGGGCGAGAGCTTCAGCACACTTTTTGGGGGCACAATCAGCTCATAACAAGGACCTTCATGTCCAGACCCCTTTCTGACCCTTTTTGGGAAGGTGTAAAGCAAGTTTGACATGCTGGGTGTAAAGGGACAGATTGGCCCAGTTAAAACCCAGCCCCCATGAAACATTTCCAAGGTGGAGAGAGATTTTTTTTTTTTAATACATGTTTTTATTGATTTCAGATAGAGGAAGGGAGAAAGGGATAGAAACATCAGTGGTGAGAAAGAATCATTGATTGGCTGCCTCCTGTAGGCCCCACACTGATGGTTGAGCCTGCAACCCGGGTATGTACTCTGACTGGGAATCGAACCATGACCTCCTGGTTCATAGGTCAACACTTAACCATTTAGCCACACAGGCCAGGCTGGCACCATGGCAGGAGAGCCAGAGCTCCTTAGTAAGAGGTTCACGTATGGAGATGACCTTCCTAGTGGTTAGGCATCAAGAAGACTTCCCTGCGATGAGACTTAGAGCTGCTCCCAGACCTGGGTGTACAGGGCAGAGGACAGCCTCATGGATGAAAATTTGTGGAGCATGTTAGAACATCCACAAGATGTGATATTGTTGGTTGGTACAGCTGATATTCCAGGATCCTCCTGGTCATGGGAGAGGGCAGGGCTTGCAGCTGCCACCATCACAGCCAGCCCAGTCTCAGGACTGAAGGCCCCCTGGGGACTTCATGGTCAGTGTCATAGTTGCAGTGGTGAGGACAATTTAGTCTGAGTGACAACTGCAGTAGGTCAGAGTTCACCGAGAGCTTATTCAGCTTCCACTTGCTCAGAGGTGTCAGAGCCAGGCACGGGGTGTGACGGATCACAGAGGAAAAAGCAGGTCCATGTGACACCACCTGGGCTTGCTGACGGGCTTTGCTCTTGGGAGTTGGCTGGGACAAGCATCCTCCAGTTTTCTTAGGCAGATGCTTTAAGGGGGTTGGTGTCATTCTAGGGATGCAGCTTTGAGCTGTTAGAAGCCATGCTAGTGTTTTGTTCCTACATACCAAGGGGGAGGCCTGGTTCAGCAAGGCTCAGAGGAGCCTGGCTGGGCTAGTAAGGAGAGGGTCTTTGTCAAAGGAGTACTCATTAGTAAGTGGGGACAGGAAGAGGTGGGCTGTACTGTGTGCAGGTGTCTTGTGACCCTGAAGGGAAGGAACATGTGCATGCTGAGCCACACAGGAGCCTGCTGGCTATATGTAGGAGACTGTTGTTGAGGATGTGGCATGTAGGGAGGCAAGACCTTTGTAATGTAACTAACTGCTGCTTGCCGACTTGGCTACAGGAGAGAGGGAGGTGGACTCCGAGGCAGCCAGGTGGGTTTGCACTGTCCTCATCCAGCTGCAGGAGGCCCAGGCAGTGCTGGCATCCTTAACTGCTCTTTCATAGCTATTCATAGGCTCCTCTGCCCTGAAGCAGCATGCAGAGGAGAGCAATACTTGTCTGTTTTCTCATCTCTATGACTGCTCCTGCCCTGTTAGTAGAGCAGGTTTGCCAAGGTTGTTTGTGCAGAAACGATAAACAGTGAGGACCAGGCAGGAGATGTCCCACATCCTAAGGGCACAGAGATGTTGAAAGGGTGTGTGTTTGGGGAAACAGACCTGGGTTCATTTGTTAGTCTCTCATTAGCTGTGTGACTATGGGTGAACTACTTAACCTCTGTGAGCCACACACCCCTTATCCACTACTGACCTCACTAGCTTGCATGCAGCCCCTTCCATACTCCAGGACTGACATAGAGATGGGTCTCCATCGCTGGAGCACTGATGTGAGGAGCCAGCGAAGCCCTGTCACTGGGTCCTCGGTTTCACTGTGGGACAGCCCTAGGCTGGTGATGGCCCTGGAAGTGATTAGGGATGACAGGGTCTGACTTAAGCAAAAACACTTCCTGGGATTGCAGAGTAGGAAGGAGGTTGAAGCTTATGTGGGGTAAGTGCATGTCAGGAAGGCTTGTGGGGGCTGGTGGAGTAGGTGGACCCCCCAGAAATGCACAGGAAGGAGAAATCCATATGGAGAAGGTGAGGGGCAGACTGGCAAGGGACATGGTCAGATGTGAGTTGGGGAGAGTGGCCTGGAGCAAGCAGATTTCTGGCCTTGGGTCACACTCAGAAGCCCAACCAGGGGACAGGCCAATGCCCAGGCCTTCGGCCTCACCCCTGTACACCTTTCAATAGCTTTCCTGCTTCATCTTTCTCAGCACCTGCCCATCCCTCTGTTTTAAGTTTAAAATTCTTCTTTCTTCCTCACCACCTCTCTGACCTCTCAGCCTAATTCTGCCTCTCCTAAACCCCCCACTCTATCAGGCTCACTTTCTTTTTTTGTTGTTAATCCTCACTTGAGGATAGTTTTTCAATTGATTTTTTAGAGAGAGTGGAAGCGGTGAAAGAAAGACAGAAATATTGATGTGAGAGAGACACATCGATTGGTTGCCTCCTGTATGCACCCCAGCTGGGGCTGGGGATCAAGCCTGTAACTGAGATACATGCCCTTGACCCAAATCTCGGGCTGACGCTCTATCCACTGAGCCAAACCATCTAGGGCCCACATTCTTCGTGGACTTTTCCTCACACCAGTTCCCCACAGAATGAACCTCTACTGATGTGGCCCCCTGTGGGAAGTGGCTCTTAGTGCTCAGCCGCATGTACTGTGGTTAAATGAATGTGTAAAGCAAAAAGTATGAATGAAACCAAATTTTGAGAATTGTCAAAGGTGTCAAGTTTTGATAGTGTCTTTGCATGTCAGGTGTCCTAGGAGGGAGCTCAGTTCCTAGTGATGATCCCCACCTCAGCCTCTGTCCTTTCTGTGAGCTCAGGAGAAGGAGCCTTATCCTGCCTGTATGTTTCAGATTCTACGATAAGCACTGATGGTGAGCAGGCTGGTGAAGATGTGCACATGCTAAAATCAGAGTCTCTGGCAGCGATGGTCAAACCCCCCCCTTGGGATTATCCTCAGAGTCCTGGCTTCGGAGACACCTCTGATTCTGAGGTCTGGCCAGAGAGTAAGCTAAGCTCTCTCTTTCAGAAACACCACTTGCACACAGGGACTGTGGCTCCCAGGAAGACCTCTGCCAAGGAGGATGTGCAGGGACATGTCAGCCTGGGTTGTCAACCTGAGAAAAGTCAGGGGGTTGCTGCAGATGGGCCATCTCGAAGATGCGATGTGTGTGGCAGGAGTTTCAGATTCGTGGCTCTGCCTCACTTTGGTGTACAGAAGGAACTTAACAGATGTCAGGAGTGCCAAAAAAAGTTATCTGATTGCTTACAGGGGAAACATCAAAGTAACTGCCATGGAGAGAAGCCGTATGAGTGTGAGGAATGTGGGAAAGTCTTCAGGTTGTGCTCGCAGCTTAATCAGCATCAGAGAATCCACACTGGAGAGAAACCATTCAAATGCATAGAGTGTGGAAAAGCCTTTCGCCTGAGCTCAAAACTTATTCAGCATCAAAGAATTCATACGGGAGAGAAACCATACAGGTGTGAGGAATGTGGGAAAGCCTTTGGTCAGAGCTCCAGCCTCATCCACCATCAGAGGGTGCACACAGGAGAGAGGCCCTATTGCTGTCGTGAGTGTGGGAAGGCCTTCAGCCAGCAGTCTCAGCTGGTCAGACACCAGAGGACTCACACTGGAGAGAGGCCCTACTCGTGCCAGGAGTGTGGGAAGGCATTCAGCCAGAGCTCAACCCTGGCTCAGCACCAGCTGATGCACACTGGGGAGAAGCCTCCAGTTCCAAGAACCCTGGATGGTGCCAGCCTCGTTGCACACCAGAGAATCCACGCTGCAGAGAAACCGTTTAAGTGTGATGAGTGCGGGAAGGCTTTCAGGTGGGTCTCTCGCCTTAGTCAGCACCAGCTGATTCACACCGGAGAGAAACCGTATAAATGCAACAAGTGTGCAAAAGCCTTCGGTTGTAGCTCACGGCTTATTCGCCACCAAAGAACTCACACTGGAGAAAAACCATTCAAATGTGATGAGTGTGGGAAGGGCTTTGTCCAGGGCTCACACCTGATTCAGCACCAGAGAATTCACACCGGAGAGAAACCCTATGAGTGTAGTGATTGTGGAAAAGCCTTCAGCCAGAGCTCAAGCCTCATTTACCATCAGAGGATTCACAAGGGAGAGAAACCCTACGAGTGCCTGGAATGTGGAAAAGCCTTCAGTATGAGCACACAGCTCACAATTCATCAGAGGGTTCACACCGGGGAGAGGCCCTATAAATGTGGTGAGTGCGGGAAAGCCTTCAGTCAGAACTCAACCCTTTTCCAACACCAGATAATTCATGCTGGAGTAAAGCCCTATGGATGCAGTGAGTGTGGGAAAGCCTTTAGTCGAAGTTCGTACCTCATTGAGCACCAGAGGATTCACACACGTGCCCAGTGGTACCACGAATACGGGGGCACCCTGGAGGGTTCTACCCATGTGAGCCGTAAAAAAGTTAACACTGTAAAGAAACTACACAAATGTAATGAATGTGAGAAAATATTCAGATGGCGCTCCCATCTCATTATACATCAGAGGATTCACACTGGAGAGAAACCTTATAAATGTAACGAATGTGGCAAAGCCTTTAATCGGAGCTCAAGGCTCACTCAGCATCAGAAGATTCATATAGGATAGATCACTCACCTCTTTAAATGTAAGTGGGAATAAACCCACAGCCTTAACCTATTTAAATTATATGGGGTAATTGATACTAACAAGGTAGAATGTTAGTAAAGATTCAGAATTGCTCTTTTAAAAATATCCAAGTTCATACAAAATGTGTTTTTTTCTGGAATTCTGATTTTATCCCACTCCATAACCCTGTGTCCCTTGCATCAGGGGAGTCATGTAGAGTTCTGAGTGTGCAGAGGGATGAACCCAGGTTCTGCAGCTGAGGCCTGAGAAGTCCTGTGAGCTCTGCAAGATGAGATACTCAGTGTCTTCAGCACCAGTTACTCAGACTGGCTTCAGCAAGGATGTGTGAGCTTGCATGCGCTGAAGAGGAGTGTCTGGAATTCCCTTCTGCCTTCACCTGACTCCTTTTCTTCAAACCTCTTCCGCCATCAGCAGCCCAGGCAAGCAGCCACCCAGGGTCAACTTGAGTTTCCACATGGGCCAAGCCACTCTGATTAATCTGACCTACAGGCTGGGCCCATGTTCATTCACTTTGTCTCACAGAGCAGTTAATTAATGCCATGGAGGCCACTGGATGAGACAGACCTGCCGCATTGACCCCCTCCCTGTCCAGTGTCCAGTATTCACCATTTGGGAAGGAGTCCAGGGGCCAGGAGTCCACTCGAGACCTGCTGACCTTTGGTACCATTGCTACAATCAGAGGGGCAATATTTGAGAGACCTTCATCCCAGTGGAGGAGCCCATTTCTTCCACATGTGGACTGGTATCCCAGAGGGACACAGGTCAGTCACTTCAGGATTTGTTGTGACACTTGATTTGGGTCACCATCACACTGGTTTGGTCAAGCCCACCGCAGGTCCTTGAGACCTTGCTGCTTCTATCGCCGTGCATGGCATATCCTGTAGCAGGCTATGGATTTGAGTCAGGTGAAGAAAATGCTTGCTGATCCCCATGTTTGCATTAGGAGGTTCCTGAGCTTTCTGCTGTAGCTGGGAGCAGTGGATTTTGAGGTGGTAAAGTTTATGTGAGCTAGTGTTTCCAGCACATGGGTGGAGCCAGTCAGCCTGATCACCAACTGCTACTGCTTATCCATCACTCACTGCCTGACATGTCCTTCACCTGGTGCCAGGATGCCATGAAATCAGTGGGCCTATCTCTCCAGGCATCCCTGCTCTACCCAGAACTTGAGTCGAATGGTCAGAGGACCAGGGACTTGTGTGCATTATGCAGAGGTCATGCTCGTTGTGTCTCCTCCTCAGCTGCTGTGCTCACCCAAGGTGGTCACTGCTGGCACATCTGGATGGGTGGGCCCAAGTTTAAAGGGCTGTAAATATTTTAGGCCGCCCAGCAACGGCTCTGGAGCCGAGGTCCTGAGTGGAGAGAGCACACTCCTGCCATCTGCTGGCACTTGGTACTGTTGTGCACCGAAGGGCCTCTTCATTGGACCCCACCTCCCTTGTCTACTCCTGGGTAATGAGGGACAAAAGGATGGAGGATTATATGGACTTCTCCAGACTCCAGCCTGGACATGATGCTTTCTTTCCCCTCACAGTAACTGCAGGCCAGAGACTTCTACCTTAAATCTCCTTTAGCATTTGAGTGTGCACAGCCATGGTCCTGGATCAAGGGCTGGTGAGGCCTGCTATTGTGTGGTGCTGGTGCATTAATCAAACAAACACTGAGGCCATAAGACTGGGTGTTTTGAATGCCTACCAAGCAGACCACGCGTTTTGAAATATTCTGACCTTTTTTTTTTTTAAATATATATTTTATTGATTTTTCACAGAGAGGAAGGGAGAGGAATAGAGAGCTAGAAACATTGATGAGAGAGAAACATCAATCAGCTGCCTCCTGCACACCTCCGACTGGGGATGTGCCCGCAACCAAGGCACATGCCCCTGGCCGGAATCGAACCCGGGACCTCCCAGTCCGCAGGCCGACGCTCTATCCACTGAGCCAAACTGGCTAGGGCTGACCTTTTTTTAAAAAATACATATTTTTATTGATTTCAGAGAGGAAGAGAGAGGGATAGAAGTATCAATGATAAGAGAGAATCATCAATTGGCTGCCTCCTGCACACCCCACACTGCGGATTGAGCCCAACCCAGGCATGTGCCCTGACTGGCAATCAAACCCTGACCTCCTGGTTCATGGGTTGATGCTCAACCACTGAGCCTCGCCAGCCTGGCTCTACTTTCCTGCTATATTCCCCAATTTGGGCTTCAGTAAATATAAACTCATTTTAAGGATTTTCAGCACTGTTTAACAATAGGTTTTAAAATACTTTCGACTTCTCTTTTTGAGTCAATAAATTAAACCCATAATTTTAAGCTGGTTGCTTTTATTCTCAATTATAGATTGAAATTTGATTTATGATGTTGGATTGTAACTATTTTGAGGTTTGTGGAAACTTCCCAAAGTGTTTGCCGCAAGGCAGAACCCAGTGAGTTTACGTACCTGTATCCCCAGTGTGTGTGACTTATACTCACAGCCCAGGAAATGTTTGTTGAATGAATGAATGATGAATTTGAGGAGTATCCAGGCTTTGAAGTTGAAAAGTCAGAGACCCACAGAAGAGAAACAGCTACCAAGAGCTTCCACAGGATCTAAGTAAGGTTGACAGAGCTGAAAGGTAATTTTCCAGGTGCATCATTCCCTGTGCAGACCTGGAACAAAGGTGGGAAAAGCCAGCCCCTGCCCTCATGTCCAGGTCTATGGTGATCAACCACAAACAAGGGTAGATGGTCCCTTTGCAGCCTGAGTGAATCCTGTGGCTGCCCACTTCAGCCTGACGAGAGCTGGGACAAGGGAGCTGTAGCAGTTAGAGCTGACACCCACCTACCTCCTCATTTTGTATGATTCTGAAGAATGGTTTTTAAAAAAATTGACTTGAGAGGGAGGGAGAGAGAAACACTGATTTGTTCAGCTTTTTAATGCATTCATTGGTTGATTCTTGTATGTGCCCTGATGGGATCAAACCTGAAACCTTGGTATATTGGAACTATGCTCTAACCAATTGAGCTACCTGGCCAGGGTAGGATGGAGAACACCTCAACCACCTGGTCCTAACTGGATGACAAAAGGCACAGATCATCTTCTGGTGGGGGGAGGGGAGGCTGGTGGGTGCCCCCACTTACCTGGGGTGAGGGTGGAAGTGGGAACATATGGCATGGGACCAAAAGCTGTGCCTCAGAAATCCCCCTTCCCCCGTCTGCTGACCCTCTAGTGGACCACCAGAGTAGACACAGTAACACAGCCATGGAGGTAGCCAGTAAACTCCAGCTGGGTGCACCAGCGTTCTCTGTGGCCTGGCGGGCAGAAATATGGTGTGAAAATCCCAGGGGTTACCTGCTATTTGATGCTGCAGCTCCAAGTGACTGCCCACCCCCTGCTGCAGGGGCTGCTGAGAGGCTTGAGGTAGGTTCTGAGTAACAGGCCCATTTCCACCCCTGGGGTCAGTAACACAGGGTGGCCTGGAAGGCACATTTCCTCACTGCTACCAGGTGCATAATTTTGAGCCATGGAGTCTCAGCCACAAGGTCCCACAGTGGCGGTGGAGCTTCTAGCACCCTGATGGACTGGGCTCAGACCCAAGGTCTCCATTCCTGATTGCACTGGACAAATGTCACTGTGGTAATCTTGCACACCAGAAACTCCCAGGTCTCAGTGGCTTTCAGCCCTAAATGTGTGTCCTCTGGGACCACCAGCCCAAGCTGACCAGCACACCCACCCTGGAGGTGCTGGGAAAGGCCCCTGTTCCTTCCTGGCCTCAATACAACATCCAGTATGATCGTACTTAAACAGCTGTTAGGGTAGGGCATGCCCTGTACTCTCACCAGTGGCTTTCAGCCCTAAATGTGTGTCCTCTGGGACCACCAGCCCAAGCTGACCAGCACACCCACCCTGGAGGTGCTGGGAAAGGCCCCTGTTCCTGGCCTCAATACAACATCCAGTATGATCGTACTTAAACAGCTGTTAGGGTAGGGCATGCCCTTGGTACTCTCACTCCCCTCTACTTCACTCCCCTTCTACCCAGAAGTCTCCCTTGGGTCACTGCTCCCTCACCTCTTGCAAGTCTTTGCTCACATACCAACTCTTCTAGGAAGCCCACCTTATGACCCAATGTAAAATGACAACCCAATTCTCCCATAGCCCTGCTTCCCATTCCCTGGACACTGGCCTATTTTATCATTTACTATTTCCAATAACAAGCTACGCCAGTCATTTGTTATGTACTCTGTAAAGCCTTCCTTTCCACACTACAATGCTGGCTCCTTGAGATCAGGGATTTAAGACGAGAATGAAATATCCACTCTGAAACACATGGTTCGTAGAAACAAATGAGCAGAACACTCAGATGCTACCTGGGGCCCAGCTGAACAAACTTGGCATCTGCATAAAGACTTTGGACTGGGCCCTAGACTGACTGGACCAGTTGGCCACCCTGGAGCAGCAAGTACCCGCACCCAGCAATGCCACCAACAGCCAGGGGAGTTGTGTGCAGGGTGACACCACCCAGGAAGACATATTTTTAATTGTTGCTTTACTCCCAAATAAAGGAAAAACAGTGCTGACTTTTTTTAATCAAACAGAGTGACATGGTTGCATTCACATTCTCACTGAAGAGTGCCTCCTAGGCAGGATGCACTTCCTTTTGGAGATGTCTGAGCAACTGTCCCCAGGTCAACAGAGCAACTGGGAGTGCAGGTCAGTCCTGCAGTTTGTGCTCGCACTTCTTCTCCAGGTCAGCCATCTCCTTCAACACCAGGGCCACGCTGTACCGAAGCTCCTGGAATTTGGCTGTGGGGACCTCAAAGCGGTGTGCTGACCCATCGGAAAGTGTCAGCTGCATCAGGACACTTGGCTGCAGGGAGCGGGCCAGGGCGCTGGTGGAGATTGCTACATCCACCCTCCACCGACAGTTGGCAATGTGGGGCAGCCAGGCCCCCTGCTGCCTGGCCACAGAGTCAAGGAGAGGCCGCTGGCTCCCAAACACCACACTGGCCAAGTCCACGACCAGGTCCTGGGGGATGCAGAGTTCCTGGAGCTGGTCCTTGAAGGCGTCGGGCTTCAGACTGGCTGGGGGCAGCCGGAGGGCCTGCTGGAGCAGCGTGTGGGTGCCAGCAAGCAGGGCACCCAGCCGCTCCTCCGACAGGTGTGCAGTAGTCCCAAGGCGCTGCACAGCTTCACGGCAGTCCTCTCCCTGCAGGCCACTGACCACCAGTTTCAACAGTTTTCTGAACGTGCCCCTGTCCAAGTCCCCCAGGAGCCGGGGTATTGCTGCCACCTCTGGGGGGAGCTGGGCCCCCAGGAAACTCACCTGGCCGCTGTGACTGACACCAGGGTGATGCAAGTATGGAGCTACAGCTCCCACGGCGGACATTGCGGCTTCCTCCTCTCTGATCAATCAGCTCAGAGGCAGGTCCCAGCTGCACCTGCCTGGAGGGGGTGGAGAGAAGCCTAGTGACTTCCCACGTCCTTTGAGTCAGTGACTGAGGACTGACCCGATTCCCACCTTCAAGACAGTGACAGTGGGAACTACGACTGACAGCCCATGTGATGGGAAGCACCCTGGGATCAGATGGTCTCAGGAAGAGGGGAGGCAGGAGTCAGCAAGAGAGACGGCAGGGAGGGGAAGAGAGCAGCCACCGGCGCGGGGGAAGGAGTGACAGATATGAGACCCGTTCGAGTCATGCCCTGAGCTCGCCGTGGCATCCTGGACACCTTACGTGGGCACGAGCCGCGGG